TTATCGACCCCTTTCACTAACAAGTATTCCTTGTAAAATAATGGAGCACATTTTGTACTCTCATATTTTCAATTACTAAGAATCCAATTCATTTTTCGCTCCTGCTCAACATGGTTTCCGTCGCTCATTTTCTTGTGAAACGCAGCTGCTTCATTTCACCCATTGCTTGCATGCTATACTGGACAAAAACCATCAGGCTGACTGTATTTTTCTCGATTTTTCTAAAGCATTCGACAAGGTTAATCATAAGTTACTAATGCTTAAACTTTCTTCATTAAGCCTAGATCCTAACTCGTTAACCTGGCTGGAATGCTTTCTAACCAACCGCTCACAATATGTAACTCTAAATGGCGTTCATTCATCCCTGACTGATGTTGTATCGGGCGTACCCCAAGGTTCAGTTTTAGGCCCGCTTCTTTTTCTAATATTCATTAATGATTTACCAAGTTGTGTTTCTTCCTCCATGCATTTATATGCAGATGACTGTGTAATTTATCGCGAAGTTCATGATGATGATGACGTACGCATTTTGCAATCTGATTTAAATAATATTACTCTTTGGTGCAAAAAATGGCGTATGGAATTAAACCCTAACAAATGCAAACTAATGCGCGTTTCCCGGCAAGGCGCACGCCCTTCAAAATATACACTAACCGACATTCAACTTGAATCTGTAAACTCATACCGTTATCTGGGTGTTACTATATCGTCGACATTAACCTGGAAGCCTCATATTGATATAATAATCGCCAACGCTAACCGCATGTTAGGATACTTACGACGAAACTTCAGAACGGCCCCAGCTAACTTAAAACTTCTTCTTTATAACACTCTTGTACGGTCAAAATTGCAATACGCAGCCTCTATTTGGGATCCTAACCACACGTTTCTGCATAAAGCTCTCGAACTAGTTCAAAATAACGCCGTTCGTTTCATTCTGTCTAATTATAATCGAACAGCTAGCATATCATCAATGAAATCCAGTTTATTGTTACCCTCTTTGTCATTGCGCAGAAAGTTTTTTCGACTTTGCCTGTTTCATAAAGTGTATCATCATCAGTCGCTGCGAGACCATTTCTTTACATTGCCTAGCTATTACTCTTCCCGTCTGGACCATCGGAATAAAGTTGGATTAACACGTTGCCAAACAAACACTTTTTTTTATTCATTTATCCCGCATACATCAAACGACTGGAACCACCTTCCAGCAGATATCGCAACTATACCTGATTATTCTCTTTTTCGCCAATCTTTGTCTACATTTCTGTTTGGTGAGCCAACATGAGTCATTTTATTTTGTTTATTTTTTTCCGTAAAATATATTGCTTGCCGCTTTTGCCAATGGCTGTGTGTTTTTGATATTTCAATTTCTTGTTGTTTGTTTTTTATTGTTTTGTCAGTTTGTTTTATTTTGCTTTGCCCCTCCCCTCTACAATGCTTCGGCGCTTGAGGGTATGTACAATAAATAAATAAATAAATAAATAAATTTCGTCCTTGGTTGGATCAATCACGAGGCACCTTTTTTGCTTGATCTCAAGCTCTTCGCATGCCTTGATTTTGCATTTTGCGGCTCCGTTGGCGAAGACAGCCATCCAGACATGGCTCATTTGATATGGGCCCAAAGCTATTAGATCAGTTCGTTCAATCATCGAAAACAGAACTTCCTTGAAGTCTGTTGCCTTGCAGGGCCTTCCGGACATGTCCGCATGCAGAAAGAGGGAGTTTGTAACTAGCATACCTGTCGGTAGACGTGGAAGAATGATACGATAATCCTTGGACAGCTTGGAGCATTCCACTGCCTGTTCGTTTACCCGGTCAACGAGGACCGTCATGCTGCTCTCCTTGGAGCTCATCTTGCGTCTTGCTAAATCGCTGCCTTCTTTGCAGCGGGTCCCAGGGCCACAAGGGCCCCAGTAAGTGACTTAAAATCGGAAGGCGAAAATTCGGGCGTTCAATGGCGAGTACTTCTTCTTCTTCCTGCGCCACGGGCGGAGGACTGTCGAGGGTCGCGTAAATTATGAATTAGTCTTTAATGTATCGGCTACTGCCGACGCATCGGCTACTTGCGGCGCCAATTTCTTTACACGCAGTGTTGACACTTGACAGATTTCTCTCAAAAATGTTCTCATTCAAGTTCATACACAGTGTTCGACACTCGACAATCCGTTAATTTTAATGTATACTTTATATCTTGAAAAACTTTCACCGCTTATATCCGTTCGAGCAACTGCGTCTCCAAAAGCTTCGAATCCAAATCCAAATCCAGTTGTTTCGTGCGCTTTGTTGCCTCGGAAGCCTCACCCTTCCTCGTGGAGTGTTTTCGAGGTTTTAGATATTTCGGTAGGTTTCACTCGATTTTGCGAGAACAGAGAAATAAGCGACGTCCACAGGGCTTTATTTAAAAACTGCAATCCTTCGAATGTGGTCGACTTCGAGCGTAGGACGGCGTACAAGGTGTCTTGGGACGGCGACGCGAACACTCGAGGAGGCTATTACGACGCCGAGATCCTCGAACTGACGGGTGAGTGTGTATTTTTTACCATCCCAAAGTGCGACGTAGCCACAAGCAATCGCCGTTTTCTTTCTTTTTTATTGCGACTGTAATTAAAAGTGAATATTGTAGACTGCTTATATGGGGCACCAAGCTAGGCAGATGAATGCATGGGCTAATACTTCAGTTGAGCGTGTGGACTGAACTGCCTTGCACGTGACATCATATGGCACCCTACAAGCCGCCATTGCTCCTGTGCCTTAAGTCCGCGCTAATTTACTCGTACTCCACCGTTCCGAGTTTCACACTCCGAGCGCAGCAACTAAACGAAGCCTAGCGTACAGTAGCGCAACACACCGAAGCTGTCGGCGAGCTGTATGAGCCACTTCCGACCTCAGTTTTATGACGAACCCAGCATCTCGCGGATGCCAAAATTATTTTGAAGATAAATTAATTAAGGGCTCTGTAAAATGGTGAAGTAAAAGCCCCCCCCCCCCCCCCCCCCCCCGAAAAAAAAAAGAAAAGAAATGCGCGGCGACGCTAGGAAATTTTTACGAATGTTTTAATATTTGTGAAAGGTTTGAAGACTCGCTTCGACCAGATATGCTGAATGTTACTTTGACCGATCTATTTATTGACCATGCGTGCTGTTTAGATTCAAATGAAAGACAACATTCTTGAACTCGCTTGTCAAAACAAGAAACTCTCAAACTTGTCAGATATCTTGGGTTTTCGTCTTCCAGCGCGAGACGGAACCTGTCGATGTGCTACTCCAATACTGGCACACCACCGTTCAATAAATAGCACATTAATTAGTTTTCAGGCGAGATGCATGGACAAACTTTTACCGCTACGTTTTCGCTTTCCGATCGAAGTATCTTTATTCGCAGGGCTGTGCATTCTACAAAGGGCAACAATCGGACTGTCCTCACATCTCGACAACTTTTCTGTCGCTGTACCACCATAACGCTACTGTTCGATGGGTAATTCGTTTTCAGGTGAGATTCGGGAACAAACCTTTTCCGTAATGGTCCTGGCTTTGAAATCAAATCATTTTACTCGCTGGGTTAAGCATTCTTCAACTGAAGTGAGGCAGCGATCCACTGCACTCCTCGTCTCGGCGACGTTTCTGTCAGCGCAAAGAAATGACTTGCACTTCGAGAAATACGCGGTGCAAAAAGAGCACGCTTGAGTGTCAGTCCTTTGGTGGCGCTTCTGTCCATTTAATGAACAGAGCGCCAAACTCTTGCGCTCCGCAGCACAAACTTAGGCGCACAATCGTGGCTGATTCAATATCAATTCATGCGAGTCATATAATACATGGCTTGCATTGATGTTGCATCAGCTGCCATTGCTTCCTGACCAATTTATTTATTCATGATCACAAATGTACAGTCGGGGACAAAAGTCCCCAGGACGTGCTAGCTGCGGCTGAAACCCATTGCTCTGCCACCTGCCGGCGGGTCGCCTGGTTTCGAGATCACACAAAAGCGCATGCACGTCCTACTCTGCCTGCAAACATGTGCGTTTCCTGCTCTTCTGCGGCACAGCACCTAACTAGGAATCGGGCACATGGTACCGCCTCGGAGATAGCGCTGGCGGCTGACGAGCGTCTGCTATACATTCCAAAACTCGAGATACCGCCTGGGGCATTGCGCCGCATTTCGTCGTTTCAGCGCACCTTGCTTTATAACCAGTTCAGCTTATCGCTTAATTGAGCTGCTGTGACTTCTTGCTTTATAGGTGCCATGTCAGTAAGCACTATCTCCGAAGTGGTACCACGCGCCCGATTCCGAGTTAGGTGCCGCGCCGCAGCAGAGCGAGAAAGCGCACACGTTGGCAGGTACAGTAGGACGCACGTGCGCCCTTCTGTGATCTCGAAACCAGGCGACCCGCCGGCAGATGGCAGAGGAATGCGTTTCAGTCGCAGCTTGCGTGTCCCGGAGGCTTTTGTCCCCGACTGTACCTACAAGAAACCCAAGAGGAAATGGCAACTGAACTGGCCAGGCGCAAACAGGCAGCTGAAGCATCTGCAAGTTCACACAAAGCTGCTCCTCCCAGGAACGTCAGCCCTTGTACCCTCTAACGCAAAGCAGTTTTTGTGGAAATTTTGTCACCAGAATATCATTACCTGTCTATGTAATGTGGTACAGCCTATTTTTTCTGGGAGTGTCCAAAAGCTAAATCTTAGCGCTAATTAAATTTTTAGATGCGGTTTATGTCAGGACAAAAGCTGAAAGTGACGATGTTGCAAGGCTCTCAAAAGCAGCGCCAGCCACATATGGCTAGCAGCGACCAAAACGGGCACACAACTGACCAATCCAACTGATGCAGAAAGAGAGCTGGTCGTGCACAAAATGTGAGTGTGGAAAGCAGCTTGGGAATCCCAACACTGCGTAATGTCATGTCGAGTCCTTAACATTTATACTTCCTTGGGATTGCTCTGTTTCACCACTCAGTCAAGGCTTTGCGGTTTACCAAGGCTTCTTTATTTCACAAAGGCCAGTAAAGCAGTCGGGAGTGACAAGGAAGACAAAGAATCAACTAAATCACAAAAAAAAGAAGAAAAATAGCACAGGGATCCAGTTTGATGCCGGCAACAATGTGTTGTCATGATTTGTTGATGAGGGATGCCATGCTTTCTGCCTACACCCCAATGTGTGTGAGTAATGCTGCTAGGGGGCACACCGACAGAGCTGCTAGAAACACCTTTCTCTGACTTACCCTGCTCTATCAATTGCAGGACTACCTGCGGCTCGGCTGTTGATGCGGGAGGTGCTGTAGGGCCCTACTGCCTAACACGTAAGTCATTTATGGCCTGAGCTCTGGGTACTCGTATGTTTACCGTACTAACAGAACCCATGCTTTAGCATTACAAAGGTAACTTTCTTAATGAACCTGCAGTATATAAAAGAAGTTTGCTGCGTGGTGATAGAGCCGAACATGTCATATGCAACACATGGCTTATATCTTGCATAGAGGATATTCATTCATAAAGGGTGGAAACAATAATGCTGAGAAAGAAGGCATAAACGGCAAAGAGCTCTCTACTCTACTGTTGTGGCTGCGCTCTGTTGCTGAGCAGAATGACCGAGGAATGTCCTTCCTACGTCATGACTACGTAGCAAGTTCCCCAATGTTGCCAGATTACCTCCCAAATAGGCTCCACATGCATCCACCAGGTGCACATTGAAAGATTGTTTGATTAGCTTCAAAATTAGTTTGCTTGTGCCCTTCAGCAAAGGACTGGTATTTTTGAGGTTATGTTACAACCTGCAACTCATTAAAGCGATAAAATGAGCGCTGGAATTTGGTTTCTGTACCTCTTTAATGTGAAATTGTTTTTTTCAGTTGCTGACGAGGACATCCTTGCAAAGAATGAGATCGTGGATCCTAGCATCGGCTTCCAGAAAAGGAAGGAATGGTAAAATAAAAAAAAACTTTTCACTTTCATTCAGTGTATAATATACATTAAAAGAGTTTAGGATAGTGCAGGGGTGGCCAGAGTGACATGCAGTTAGAGCCTCAGACAAAACTACGAAAGTTTAGAGTCGCTGGAAAAAAGAAAGTGTGGGGGGGGGGGCTACTTTTAACAAGGAACAATATGGAGGGAACAGTTATTTCCATAGAGGACAAGTATAATGGGCGATAACAACAAATGACACTATGCATCAGAAGGTCCTTTCCACTGCTAAGCAAAAATTAATACACGATTCACTAGCCAGTCACTGCCCCTGACAACTGTTATGCGTATACGGTTGAAAGTCTTTCTAGAACAATAAAGGAAACAGGCTCACTCCACGCATCTATGTGGCAAAAAGCATTCCAGGTGTATATATGTAATGTGTTGCCAGGCTGCCAAGACTTGTAGCTCTTTCTAAATTCTAGAACTTTTTTCGTCTAGGGGACACGTTTTCCAGGGAGCCGCGAGCTGCACTTGGACCCTCAAAGAGCCGCGTGCGGCTCTCGAGCCTCACTTTGGCCACTCCTGAGATAATGTAAGCACAGTAGATTGAATCGATTGCAACAAGAAGTCATTAAAACATTATTGTAGCCAGGCTCTTAATTGTAGTTACAGCCAGTGCCTGGAAAACATTCTGTTGTCATGCTCACCTGATGCAACTAAGGGATTATGTAGCTGTTTCATGTAGATGCCATGAAGCTTTGTAGGCCCATCAGCTTCGCAGACGCCCATGAAGATAGGAATTCATGTGTGGTGCTGTCTTAAATTTAAAGGCCTAAATTTCATTAATGTAATTATTTTAGTGCATTTTCAATGCATCTTGGAGTATACAGTACCACTCTACGTCAACGACTGGTATATGTGAAGCTGTTTCTTGCTTTTGTTTATAACAGATCCATGTCGGGCAAGATGTGCACGTCAACCAGGAATGCGGGCAACATGCGAAAAGCAGAGTGCGACTCCATGTTTTGCGAGATCACTGCTGCTTCCATAGGGTGAGTGGAAGTGCTTTTGGAGAGGTCGGTGACCGGCACCCTCTCGAACAAGGCAAAGGCAGCGAGGCAAGAGAAGGCGTCTGCCCCGCTCACTCAGCGCAAGGTGCAGGCTCTCTCATTAAGCAAACATTTTTAAAATCTTGATATGAATCTTGCGGAGTCGCGTAAAATATTTCATGCTAAATTCGTATCAACGAAAGCGAAAAAAAAAATTATATTTTGAGACACAAGGAATGCATGAATGTGCATTTATTTATGGCAGAAAATATCTTGTATGCAAGTTACACGATTCTAACACGCCCCCGATAGTAACACACGGTTATAATCAACCTACGAATGTTGAAAAAATGAATTAATGTCGATTCTACTGCGGAGATAAGTGTCGATTCTACTTCGCAGATAAAATAATAACGGCTGAACAACATACACTTTGTGGAAAACATTTGATCAAATGCACATACTCGGAAAGTGCCCACACTATGTGCTGTTGAAGCCCTACATCAAAAACTTGCAAGCAAAAATTCGGTTTCTTTGTCTTTCCAACCAAGCTCGCATGTCACCGTGGACCACACTGAAGACACCACCAACATCACTCGGTTTTCTGTTTTTGCCAACGCAGTTACTTTGTTTTTTAGAGGTAACCTTATAGTAAAATCGGTTTTGCTTTTCCAAGGCTGAAACACCATTCCACAAGATCGCAAAAACAAAAAAGCGATTTTAAATTCAGATTGGATCGGATTTGAAACATGTGTTGATGGTGATGGGGCTGGCCACTTTGCACAGTTTTTTTTAGCATTTTGTTTAGTTTTGGTTTTTGGGTCCGATTGTAACATGCATGTAATTTTGAGCTCCAGTTTTTGGGTAAAGTGCGGCTGATCCCTAGCAGCAGCAGGCAATCAGCCGCCCGGAGCCTTGAAAGCTTACAGTCGCCGATCGTAGCCTCCTTGCCACTATCAGTTGTGGAGCACGCATTCGCATCAGCCGTCGCAGCGCGTAGAGGAATTCGGAACACCCAAAAATTTTCACGTGGTATACAATGCACTTCGGCCGGGGAATTTGTTAATTTATTTTATTCCGAAATTCGTACCAGTTAGTATCACCGAGATTTTACTCTAGTAGGTTGTCTGCTAACACCTGGGCATGTGATAGGGGTACTTCGCCAAGAATGAGTCAATCATAACAGATAATAACCGTAAATAATCGCACATTTGTATTTTGAACAGATAATTTTATTTTTCGTTCTAAGCAACAAACTCGAGCAAGTGCTCGAAGAGAAGTCAACGGAGAGTTCGATGCGTCGTGGGCTATCCGGCAAAGCTGGCGTGGCTACGAGCTGTGCCGTTCGGGTGCATAGTGGTGGTGTAGACGTGTTACAGCCTAGCCATTTGAAACACCTGTGGGCTTTACGTGGACCAAAGCGGACTAAAGCGCGAAACACATGTACGACGAAACCTTCCGATCCGACGTGCAGACTGCCGGAATGACCTTGGGGGGAGAGGGTTTTCGTAGCATCGGAGAGCGTTCAAAACCCTCGCCTCCGACCGTCGTATTGCGCGGTCGGACGTCGGATCGGACGGTTTCGTCGTACATGTGTTTCGCGCTTAAGCCGTCTAAGCGCCTATGTGTGAGATAAGTAATGTCAAGGTCATCGCGTTCAGGGCGAGATTACTCCAACAGTTGAGTATACCTCCAAACAGCGGCGCTGCTCCTATGTGTAGTGCAGCTACATAGCGGTTTTCGCCATGTCACGACTACGTCCAAGATCCCCAACATTGCTAGATTACCTCCCAACGAAGCTTCAGAGGCCTCCACCAGGAGCACATTGAAAGACTGTTTAATTACCATTAAATTTAGAGCCAGGCCATGAATGGAAGATCTTTCAAGGAATGTGAAAGATTGTTTTTATATAGAACTGCATTGTTCTTTCTGGTGCTCATGATGCTATTTCTTTTAATTCTGTGGTGTCTAAGCTGTTAGCACAACGAGGGATGATAACCAAGTATAAGCAGTTTCCAACGTACATTGTCTACTTATCTACAGTTGTAGCTCCTATTTCTTACAAGGTCACTAGCCTAGCAGTGAGATTTATAGACATGGGCTACCTGTTTTGTGCTTAAAAGATTCTAACAGAAGCCAGGGTGAGCTGTCTATTAGGAGTGGAACATAAATCAGGATACTGCAGTACTCTTCTTTCATGGTGATCTCTGAACACTGTAAATACTAAGAAACGTTGAAGGTTTGTTAGGTGCCAGCTGCCACTTAATTGCTTTTATTTGAGACTAATTTACCCTTGGTCTTCTGAAACTATGACCCTCCAGCCTGCATTTATGACATTCTATATTGTTTTAAGTCTGAGCACTGCAAAAAATAATTACCCTGGAATTTCAATATTCCAGGCTGCTTTTGACTACACCTGAGGGAGAAAGGTACCGCCAGGCTGAAAGGGCAGCCCGGCACCAGAAGATACGGCGGTACCTGTCAGAAAAGCTGTCCAATCTCAAGAGAAATCACTACAAAGGTATGTGCATCTATACTCTAACTTCCTTAAATAAGTAATATACTATTTTGGGTCTCAAGTTTACAAGCAATTATTTTAAATTATGGTATAGATAAATTATTTAGAGGTTAATACATCTAAATGTTTATGCAAACAACTTTAAATAGTCTGTTGATCAGCTGACCACTTGAAAAAGGCTGTGGGTTGCTTGGTCGCTACCGCCATCCCATCAGGCCGTGCTCGCTCACTCTCCAAAAAGTTGCATGGTCACACAATTGCAATGAAGCACGTCACTCTTACTGCCCCTTAGTCGTCTCTAGGCCCACTCTGCTGTTTACGTATGTCAATGGTCGTCCTGTGTTTGGACTCATTGCTGATCTCTCAATTGCCCTTGATATGTCCAGGCTCGTCCCTTTGCTGCCTGCCCTCCTCCGATGCGTGGTCCCACCACGGACTGCCCATGCTGTTGCAGGTCTGCCATCGCTTGCACCCCATGTTGTAGCATTTTTACCCTTTTCTTCATATTAATTTAGCTTAATTTATATCTTGCCAATACTATTGAAATGGAACAAATGTACTATCGCAGCCAATATGAGCTGAAACGCCACTGCACGTGGCACGCGATGAGAATTGTCTCTCAGATTGTTCAGCAAACCTTGGTATGCGTTGAGGTAGAAACAAATCACTTCTTGTGCTCGTTGCACCACTATGCCGTTCCGTGTCAATTTTCAGCTCATAGTGGCACAATGAGTCGAAGAAGCAACCTGCCTAAACCTCAGCAAACGCAGAGGTTCACTGAAAATCCGACAGGTGGCTCTGATAGTACCACACGCCATGCGTCATGGCGCTTCAATATTGGTCACAATAGTACTTCCTCAAATGTTTATGGTTTTTCTGTACCACCTAGCTATTCCGCCCAGCGAAACAATGTATGATTTCATAACTTCATAATAAAAATATCAAAGCAATGCAGCTTGTTTGACTTTATTCTTATTAGTAGCTGCATTCGCCGTACTCAAATGTCGGGCTGGCGATTACCAGTGTGCAGTGGACAATATAATTAAATTCTAAGTGGGATATGCACCTCGTCATGCTCCAGGCATGGCATAATTAAGTTTCCAGATTATGCATTCACATATTGTTGTGTTTTTTAAGTTGTGGCCAACTCGAACTGTTTCAAATTAGCCATGAAACCACCATATTCAAACCGTAAAAAAATAGGCGTCTCAAAATACGACAGGTCATACGACCATCAGACCAAACCAACAGACCATCAAACCATCAGGCCATCAAACCATCAGGCCAACAGACCATCAAACCATCAGGCCAACAGACCATCAAACCATCAGGCCAATAGACCATCAGGCCATCAGACCATCAAACCATCAGACGTCCCAAAATACGACTCCATCAGACCATCAGGCCATCAGGATTTTCCTGATGGTCTTTTCGATAGGGTAGACTGCCTCAAGATGGTCTGATAAATAAATTTGGTGAGGGCTCCAAATGGCCTCAGCATATTCTAATTTGGGTCGAATGTACGTCTCATATGCCATTTTACGCACGAACAGGGAAGCCGATTCTAGGTTTCGTCTTATGTAGCCGACGCAACAACACGTCTCAGCAGAGAATAGCCTGATATGAGCGTTCCAGGTAAGATCGTTTGTTAGGGTCACGCCGAGGTATTATTAGATGGGGCGCCCTGGACTAAGTAATTTTCTAATTTGTACAAGAAGTGAGATTCTTGTCGTTTCCGGGAGAAGTGGACTGACTTATATTTTGACTTATTTAATGTCATTAACTACCTAGTACACTATGCCTGGACGTTTTCCGGGGCACTTTGCAGTTGGAGATGGTCTTGCAACGAAACAATTTACTGTATATCACGCAGTGTTCAGCAAAGAAGCGGATGTTTGAGAAAAGTTTATCTAAAAGATCATTAATGCAACTTAAAAAAAAAACGAAACAAAAAAACAACAGGGGACCAAGAATTGACTTTTGGGGGACTCCCAAGGTAACCTCTGCGTGGGTGGATGAGCAACTGTTAACTGTAGTGGACTGAGTGCGATAGAAATAAAAACCACAGATAAAGGAGAGTACGAGAGGGTCGATTTTGAGACCTGAAGGTTTCGCAAGCAGGTGAGAGCGAGGAACGCGATCGAAGGCATTTGATAAGTCCAAAATTAAGGCATTGGTTTGGTGGTTGAATTCAAAATTAGTGTGTGACTCGTGGGTGACTTCTACGAGCCCAGTCTCACAAGGCAATCCCCTACGAAAACCATGTTGCTGGTTGTAAAATAAACTATTTCTCTTAAGCAAAAAACGCGACAACATGCATTATAGTTATAGAGGTCATAGGGGCACGACACCACTACCAAACGCAATTCATTGCTACGATATCAGTTGACATTTGAGAGAGAACTAACATGAACCATAAACAGGTGTTGCATCGTTTTGTGTCGATCCATGCCGTGCCCCAACTGCCGTCCTGCCCGGTGGGCTTATGTAGCCGTCCATCGAAGCGGGGTCATGTTACGTTCCTGAGGCCGGGTGTTGCCAGGGGTCGAAATCTTACATGTCCGGGTAGGGCCGCCTGGGCGGCGAAAGCATATTCGGGCGTGTCGGGACGGGAGGCACCCACTTGATCGAAAGACGTTTTAGCGAACGCCCATGTTTCATCGAATGACACTTTAGCGAATAGTCGGACGCCGCGAAGCGGCGTTTTCGGGTAAGCCAAATGGGTTCACATTTTTGTAATGAGCCTCCGCAGACTGTCGCCGCGAAGCGGCGTAAAGCGCAGCGCGGCGGATGGGTTAACGCGCGCCCCCGTTATTCGCTAAAACGTCGATTCTCTAAAATGTCGCTGTTCGCTAAAACGTCGATTCGCTCAAATGTCGCTGTTCGCTAAAATGTCATTCGCTCATGTGATATGGACCCTGTCGGGACACGCTTCGCGGCGACTCGTGATCTCTTGGCAGAGGGCCGTGCATGAGAGTTTCGGGCGAAGTCGTTGTGCAACGTTATCGGTCAGCAACACCTGAACCATAAATAGGTTTTGCATCGTTGAATTTCGAGCCATGCAATGCCCCAACTGGCCGTCCTGCGTGATGGGCTTATGTAGCCATCCGTCGAAGCAGGTGTCACGTAAAGTTACTAAGGCCGGGTGTTACCAGGAGTCAAAATCTTCATGTCCGGGTGAGGGCCCCGTGCGAGATGAAAACATCGGCTGGCCCGTCGGAACATGCTCCGCGGCGACTGGTGGGGCATCCCTTGACAGAGGGTCGCGCTAAGGATTTCCGGGCGAAGTCTAGAAAATAAATACTCCAAGATTTGCACTGTGGTCTACTAATATTTGTACATTCAATTGCAAATCAGCGAAAGAGATCCAGTTTGATATAGGCTTTATAACTGTGTCACAAGGCGGATATTGTAACATACAAATACGTTACAAGATAAAAAGCAAAACGGCACAATCGAATTTTCCTGACACAATAACGTTATCGTAACTTTTTATCTTTTTATTTTTTTATTTTTAATCGAGATACGAAGACATTGGGGATTAGGGGGAAAGAAAGAAGCAGAGTAATTTTCAAAATGCAAAAAAAAAAGAAAAAAACACTTCGAAATGAAGGTTTAATTAGTCCCTTGTTTTTCAAGCAGCGACGCTGACCTGTTTGTACGGTTTGGGCAAGAAACACTCAATACCGACTCACAGCACCCCCAAACAACAAAAAGTGACTTTCTTCAAACAAATCGTTTATAAAGTGGATTAAACACAAAATCAAGGCCATCCAATAAAGAAATGTCGTTTTTTTAGTTTGTTTTGTTTCAAAATGTTTATTGTGTTTGGCGGTTGGCAGGAGAAGACAGCATCCAGGCGACTTCTTGTGCTTAACTCCGGATAAGAGTTTCTGAAAATGAAAAAAGAAATACAGTAGCGTACAGCACAAATGCATAAAAGGATAAGCTAGTAACGGGTTTACAGTGGTTGACCGCACGCCATTTCATCAAAGCACGTCTTAGAAAATGAGCACGTTTTATCAAAGCTTATGGAGAAAGCGGAGCCTCGGTTTAGAGAAATGCCGTTTATAGAAAAGGAACTTTTTTTAAAAAAGGCTCCCCTGCTTTGCGTGTGTACAGTAGAACGCGTGCTAACTCCCCCCCCCCCCCCCCCATCCCCGATTACGTGTCAGCACATCCATCGAGCCAGTACATCCATCGAGCCATTACATCCATCAATGGATGTAATGACTCGGTGGATGTACGGGCTCAATGGATGTATTGATATGCGTATGGATGTAGCTGCTCGATGGATGTAGTTGTTCGTTGGATGTAGTTGCTCGCTGGATGAAGTGGCTCGGTAGATGTAATTGCTCGCCGTTCCTGTTATCATGCCTAGCGTGCCATTACATCCATCGCGCTAGTACATCCATAGAAGCCAAGATGGCCGCCGTGGGGCCGCAATTATATTTAAGCTGATTACTTTGTTTGCGGTATTCATATTCTCATTGGTTCGGAGCCACAGCAAACAAGGGGTAAGCCACAGAACATTAGTGAATCACAACTGAACTCAACGGGGCATTCAAACTTATTTTTTTCTTGTCGAAAAGCGAAACCAAAAGTAAGATTATGTGTACCGTCCTAATCCCCTATTAAAGTAGTTTACTGTAGATTTAATTTTCGCGATGACCTAATATTTGCGAGGACCTGAATTTCACGATTTGATCAAATTCGCAAAAAATTGGTCACGCGAATAAGTCACCCCATGAATACGAATACATTGCGTATATCTCCCTTTCACGAAATGTTCTGCCCGCGAAATTTCCGAAACCGGCACTTCGCGAAATGTCGAGCCCGCGAAATTAAACTCGTTTCTATTGAGTTAATTATGAGAGTTAAAGAGCAGTAACTAATGTTTCATACATGTGGAAACAACAAACAAGGAAAATAACGCCTTGTCATTAGGATCGGCTCCCAACGGCGGAAGTGGTGGCGCATGCGCAAAGCGGGCATACGACGGCCACGTCGGGCCCAAACACTTTCGAGACGGGTTCGCGGA